ATATCAAATCCCTCTGAACCTTTTCTATGGTTTTTGGTCTCTCCTTTGAGCTTGAATCTCTAATTCCTTCTTATCTCTATAAAATATTTATTTTCTAAATCTTTTAATGATTCTTTTATCTATCTATCTATCTATCTATCTATCTATCTATCTATCTATCTATCTATCTATCTATCTATCTATCTATCTATCTATCTATCTATCTATCATACCTACACACCTACATACATACATGATGAAATAAGGACAAAAGCATTAAAACCACTTTGCAAATCTGCTTGGAAATCTTACTTTCAAGCCCTGTTATCTCTTAGCTTTCCCGGATTCTCCCAGGAATTCACCCCCACCCCACCCCCCCACACCCACGGCTTTCCACTTAAGGCTAATATTGAGACTCTCACCAGGCATTTCCGGGCTCTTGGTGATGTTCCCCGAAGGTGCTGTAAGAGCCGTCAGAGTGCTTGTAGTTCAGCTGCCTCTGATAGCCTGACAGAGAGGATGAATATCATGGTGAATGAACATGCTTATGCCAGGCTGATTAAGAAAATATGACAGGACCCCCCATATCCATGGGATCACTGTCCGCAGACTCACTTATCCACAGCCTGAAAATATTAAAAAATATAAAAGAAAAATCCTAGCAATATAAAATTTTAAAGGTGAGATTACCAGATCTGGCCACGAGAGGGAGACAGAGGCCATGCTATGTATACTATTGGCTCTTAAAATAATCTGTATTTTTCAGCATCCGCAGGGGGGGCTTGGAACCAATCCCTCATGGATATGGGCGTCCTGCTGTACATGGCCCAAGCCAAAACAAAGGTATCCTTTTGTATGTGTGAAGGAAGAAAGTAATCAGGCCCCATCTGTTCTTAGGTTATTGCTTCCATTGATTTAGTGATTTAAGATTGAACCGACCACTTTAGCGTATCAATCTATGGATTAAGTTACCATTGTGCTTGATAAATCACACGAAGGCTGGACGTTCTATTAAAATTAGCCCATATCAACCTGCTGACTGGCCAAATGAAAGTGGATCGCCCCATTACAATTGGCCCGTACGAAATAATCAATTAATATTCAAAGCCTGGGGTATCTGGGTTTTGTTTTTTTCCTATGTTGACTTGGGCAATCCAGGGTAATCTTGGTCAATCCGGGACCTCTAATTCAAAAACAAACAGCTTTGCTGTTTATCTACTAGTCGCCTGACAATCGCTGGCAGATGCAATGACGGATCGTACTGTTGTGGTTATGGCTGTCAAGTCGGGACTGAGTCCTAGAGACCCTGAACAGTCAGAGTGCTTGTAGTTCAGCTGCCTCTGATAGCCTGAAAGGGAGAATGAATATCATGATTTATTTATTTATTTAATTGTTTGATTTATATCCCGCTCATCTGGTCAGATCGACCCCTCTGAATGAACATGATCATGCTGGGCTGATTAAGAAAATATGACAGGACACCCATATCCATGGGATCACTGTCCGCTGATTCACTTATCCACAGCCTGAAAATATTTTAAAAATCCTAGCAATATAAAATTTTAAAGGTGAGATTACCAGATCTGGCCACGAGAGGGAGACAGAGGCCATGCTATGTATACTATTGGCTCTTAAAATAGCGTTCCATGTAATGTGTGTTTTTCAGCATCCGCAGGGAGGGCTTGGAACTGATCCCCCGTGGATATGGGGGTCCTACTGTACATGGCCCAGGGAACTCCAGGGAAAAGAAGAACAGAGGCACCCTCCCTCCTCCAGAGCCCGAGAGCCTCCTTACCAGCCACAAGGTAGCCGATGGCCTTGGATTTCACAGCTTCCGTCAGCTGCCCGGTGTGATTCAGGTAGTCTAGGATGTAGATGTTGGGGGCGAAAAGGGCCATGTTTTGCTCCCCGCATCCGTAGGGCATCTGGAGAAGCTGGTGCAGATTCTGGATCGCATTCCCCAAAATGTCACCTAAAGGGGTGGGAGAAACACATGAGAAAGTCAAAGAACCGACTCAGAGGATCAGAGAGCGGGAAGGGGGCTGGAAGGGCCTCGAGCCTCCAAAGGGCAGGAATCCAAACAGAGAGTCATAGAATCGCAAAGATGGAAGGGGCCTGTGAAGCCGGGAAGGGCTCAAAAGCCAACGGCTGTGAGGGAAAGCAACAGGCGACCAAGAAGGCGGAGACCTGTAGCCCCTGGAGGCTTGCACTTCAGGCCAAATGGACGGGGGGGGGATCTCCACTGCTCAGGCTGAAGCCACCCTCCCCCTCCCTCCTCCAAGCTGGCCCACCCTTGGCTGCCTCCTTAGCCGAGATGGAAAGGGTCAGGATCCCTCCCCTCCATTGCTCTCCTGCTGTGGGCCATGTGTGAAGGCTGGCTTGCCTGCCTGGGATGGAGGCTGGGCGAAGGGCCCCTGTCCTCCCTTGGCTCCGCCCACCCACACTTTGTGCCGTCCACTGCACTGACCGCCACGGGCTACGGCCACCCCTGCCCACACTAAGTGAAGCCTCGTCTCTTCCTCTTTTTGTAACAAAGGCGTGCCACAAGGACAGTTTCAAAAGCATCCGGGGATTGTGCATAGATGAGGAGCCCCTGTCCTCTATCCTCTGCCCATCATCCTCCAACCTCCACCAACTCAGGCTCTGTGCCATCCACCACACTGACTACCACGGACACCAACCACCGCCACCTCTGCTAAGCTAAGCCTTCCTCTTTTTGTAACAAAGGCGCACCACAATTTAAAAAGCCTCAAAAGGAGAGGGGAAAATTGACTTTCACAGAATTGTGATGTTGAAAAGGGCCTATAAAGGGATTGAGTCCAACCCCCTGCTCATTGCAGGAATACAAATCAAAGGAGTGCTGGAGCAATCATCACCTCTAGAGGTCACTGGTTCCATTGTTGTACTGCTCTAACAGTTAGGAAGTTTTTCCTGATATTCACCCAAAATTTGTCTTCCGGTCACTTCAGCTGATTATTACGTGTCGTGCACTCTGGGATGATCAAGAACAGATCCTGCCCCTCCTCTGAATGACTACCTAGAGGAAAGGCAGGATCTATTCTTGATCATCCCAGAGTGCAGGAAACACATGACAATGGGTTCAAATTACCGGACATTGCCTTTTCTCAAGACTAAACACGAAGCCACTGAGCTATACAGCCAGCTAGCAAACAAACAAACAGAACAACAATATAGAACAGTAATAAAATCAAAGAGGACAAGGGAGAACAAACAATTGGTTTTCAAAAAATGAGAAATATCAGAAAAATGCACCGGAAAAGAGAAGGGCAAGAGAGATTGGGGGGAGTTAAGGGGAAGGCCACACACAGGTCCCAGCAGTGCTTCTTCCAGAGACCTCCTCCCTTACTCAGCACGCAGAAGGAGGCCCGGGCCGATCCCTCCACTACATTGCTTGGCAGCTTTAATGACACAGGGGTCGTCTGGGCACCATCTGCAAAGGAAACGGGGAAATGTGACCATGCCTCGCCTCCCCCTGATTTTTAAACTTCCTGCTTTGTACAAGGAACCCTGGTGAGCCTGCCCTGCCCTGCCCCTCCCTGGTTTGCCTGTGGAACATCCCGCATTCTCTCGGCCTCCCAGGAAGGGCTACGGCTCTGCGGAAGACCATGTGCGTTGGATGTGGAAGGGTCCAGGATCCATTCCCGGTATTTCCAAGTCTGGGAAGAATCTCCAGCCTAAAACTCCGGAGAGTCTCCATTGATGAGTATAACCCTAACGATGAACTGGCTGGAGACAGAGTTCCGTCTGCAGATTGCATTGCATCTGCTAGATCATTGCTGATGCGATGAATCGCTTCCATTAAAATTTTAAAATATTCTTCTTTGCTTGTCTGTGTATTGCTGATCGAAACCATGACTGTAGGCAGATTCTCATTTGGACATACACAGGGAAGGAATTTTTTTTAAGCTTAATTAAAGTGATTCATTACACCAGCAATGATTAGGCAGATGTAAAACAAAATTCACTTCCCCTGACCCTCTGCAGACGATCAGGGGAAGCATTTAACTGAACAAGGAATTAGCCGAAGGTTGATATGCTGTTCAGATGGGAGGAGCACTCTGAATGGCACGTTGCTCCTCCTCCTCCTCTAGACCTCAACTGACCCTTTGTAGCCCAGTCCAGCTGGCACCACAAGAGCCCACCTGGGTTACAGCCCAGCAGTAAGACTGCTTCTAGGGCAGGGTCAAGACATTTTCCTCTCTGGAGCAAAAGAGGAGATGGCATCTTCCTTCCATGGACAGAATCCAACCAGACTATCCGTACTTGCAATGGGGAGACAGGATTCTCCACTGACCCTGAGGAAAGCAAGCTAGCTCATGGGGTGCGGGACAGGCTCTGTGACACACACGCAACATTGTCCTCCAACAATGGGGAACTGGCCTTCGGAGGAACAGAATGGTGGCTACTGCCTCTACTGCCTCCCAGCATCTGCCCCCGGAGGCGGCTGCCTCGCTCTGCCTCATGGCAGGGCCAACGCCCAGTTCTCCCCCCCCCCCGCAGAGCAGGCGGACCCAGCGC